GGTATATCAGAAAACGAAGCTACGAAAAATGAGAAAAGGTTATGATTCGCTCGAGAGGAAAGTAGAGAATGTGGTGACGTGAGATGCGTCTGACTGTCCAAGGCATCGGACTTCACGATAAAAAGCGGACTGTCGAGGTAGCACTCGGTTTCACGTACTGCCGGTACCAAATTGAAAATCTAACTGTTTGGCAAGCAAATGGCAGGCCCATATTTGGTGGGGCAAATAGCTGACAGGAAGTCCAAAGTGAGTCAAAACGCTAAGCATGACGAATGCAATTCCGAACAGATCCAAACTTTGGCATATAAAAAGAACATACGGCGTCCTCTTGGCACGGAGCAGCAGTTTTGCCCCAGGGGTTTCAATGTTTAAATTAGTCCACGAGCTGGTCATGTATTCCAAAACAGGTTGGTTGAAGACGCAAAACTCCTTCCCCTCAGGTCCAGAGAGAAGTTCCCGAATGAGGGCCTCTTGTTCCGGAAGAATGCGTTGTCGCAAGGCGTTGCATTCCCGTTCAATTTTCAGAAGAACACCACCTCGATTTACCAATACGGCCGGATCACTGAGTTTACGCTAAAATGAATGAACACGAAAATAAACAGCAGGTTAGAATAATACCGAAAGGGGGCAGTCGCGGTGATTGCTGACAACATCCAGGAGGGAGTTTGCGAGAATAAATGAAGATGACAGTCATGCCTGTTTTTAAATGGAATGTTGCCGGTTTAGGAGGGTTCAGGACGCCCTAATATGGGTGCAGGATGCATCGATGGGGTGACTGTCGACATTAGGAAAGGGAGAACTGGTGCACTAGAGGTAGGTCTAAAAATTCGGCTGCGTCGAGTTTCCTTGTCAAACATCTACTCATCTGGTACTTAAAGAATGGTAACACACCAAATCACCGAGCTTTTGGACACGCCCGCACCGGACACTCGCACGCTACGAGCGGCCTGTACTTGGTATACCTGTGATCAGGCCTGATTTCGCCGTCTTCGATGATGTCGCGAATTGCACCTCCCCAAGTGGCAGAGGATCGAAAATGTTCGACCCATTCATGCGACGGGAACAGAATACGCAATTCGACCGTCGGTTCCGACAATACCCACCGTATGCGTCAAATGCGGGTGGGCGCAGGGACGGTGAACTGCGCATGAATTAGTTTATAGCGACAGATTTCCGCTGCATCTACTGCACTCTCTTCCCTCACACTCCCGAGCCCGGCGTCAAGGGAGAATCAAGGAGACCAGAAGGGGTATGAGGCACAGGTGACTGGTGAGGCCTGAGCCTGCATACAGGCATTTGTAATAACGGTTAAGCAGCCAAATAACGCGTGCCGGACCTTGATATAGCCTCTGTGTTCGTCCAGCGCATCTACCGAGTGGTTTGTCGTAGGTGGCATGGAGACTGAATACAAAAGTTTCAAGAACGCCCTTCATGTCTTGACGAGTTGTGTTAAGTCAGGTATCGAGTTGGACTCCAGTACGCTTTCAGGAGGGAAGCGGTGCAGATAAAGGACTGCAACAATAAACTCATGGTACAGACAACGAACGATGTGCCCAAACTATCTCAATGGTTTCGCCTTTATGGCCTAAATATACTCATGATGTTATGAAAGTGAGCGCGGACTGTCGCATACGCGAAGAAGTCAGTGGTACTCATCAAAAAGATGGTTTATGGGTAGCTGTGGCGAACCATCTGCAGTTTTCGCTTATCTTGCAAGTGAATCTTTGTGACGGTGGAGACACCACGTCGGATCCATAGTGACTCCAAGGAGTATGGAAACCCTGCGAGCGGCATCAATTCGGGAGATTATGTCGTTCTTACTCTGTAAATTCGACACCACTCTCGCTCTGAGGTGCTGCAAACTAACTACTTCTCCAAGTTGACGGTCATTTATCCCCAAAAAAGTTGTCTTCTCATGATCAGGGATGCAGCTCAAAGGCACTTTGATTCTCCCACGTTTATGGATAAACCGACTGTTTTACTCGACACACCAGTCTGTACGTCGCCAAAACCTGGGGCTAGCCGGGTGATATCGCTAAAAGGCATGCCGAGCTACAGGCACCGACAATTATAATAAGTCTGGTCACGGTCTCGTGACGTTCGGCTACCACTTGAAGTTGGTTTCAGGGAAGTGACGGTGCACATGTTATTAAGGATCTCACGTCAGCCTGATTGCTCCGAACCCGGTCATCGTACCGACGTTAAAGATGGTAGTTTAAGGGCGCCTTAGGTCGAAAAAAAACTGGCTATAACTGAAGTACACCGCGAACAATTAGTCGAAGGCTTTAGACCACAAGAAGTCGTGAATGTGGGATCCTGACGAAAACAAGCAACTGTTCGAAAGTTAATAGAGTTGCACATTTATATGAAAAACAAATTTTAGAGGCAACTAAGGCGAAATCAGACGCGAAGTGTGAACCAGGAAGAACCACAGACGTAACCCGTTTCGAAATTTTATCAGGTTCATTAGGATTCCGCGTGTTTGCCACGGCCCAAGGTGTTATGGTATGGAAGCTGCCACGTTCGATTTGGGTCTATCTCTGCAGAATAGGTATAGGATAGACCAAACGGGAAATCCACCGCCTACTTATGGTTACTGGTATCACCATGCTCATCTTCTCTAACTAGCACCATTCAGTTGCGCAATAATTTGGATACCTCAGCTTATATAGGTAGATGACAGGCTACGAAGGGTCATGGCCACGCTGAAGAGCAGCCAGCAAAATTTGAGCGCACAGAATGCGCACTATTAATGCAGCAAAAGTGATTAGGCCTAACCGATAGCAACTTGCCACGCCAACATGTGGCGCATAACTGAAGTGACTACAGCGAAGGCATCTGTCCAAGGTTGAGAGCTGCTTACCTGGGCCTATGAGAGAGCGGTGGCACCTTGCGAAGGAATTCGTTTATCTGGCGGCAGACTTTTGGTGCATTTGCTGCATCCATGGCCCGCATAGTTCGATACGAAAACGATGCCAGATAGGTGTAGACACAGTAGCTAACATCGACAGACGACATGTCTACACCTGTTACATACCATGTGGATATCAAATCCTCACATGCCATCCAGAGGTCTCATGTACCATACAAGTGATTGTCACGAAGACCTGATTACAGAGGGGCCAATACAGCCAGACCTGCAGGCCAAAATAGAACTGGGTTTTCCGTCAGTCGGCAGACTTCCAGTCACGACTGTTAGTGCGCCGCCAATGCTTTAGGGCGCACAGAACTGCTAACAATGGCGAAATGGGGTGTTGGGTCTAAACTAGGCGGAACTCACACTTGCTCGCCCTTACAGGCTATAAAGACAGCGAGTCAGAACCAAGTCGACTTGAGGTGGGACTGAAAGTCCAAGTAGATGTGACGTGAATGAAGCCTCTGTCTAACGCACACAGGCAATAACAGAAGCAACACCGCCGTGGAGCAAAGGGCCAACTGTCCTGTCGAATGCATTATTAGACACCACAGGTCTCGATGACGGAACTGTTACAAAATGGACAGAAAATAGGTTCTCTGGCCGACAACACCCTGAGGTTAGGTTTCTACGACCAAACCCTTAGGCGTACAGGACAACCAATCTAGGTGATTGGTAGATATGCTTCCGTACCGAAGACTCTAGAGACACCATAAGGATTGAGACTGACCGCAGATCGATGCGTGGGGCCGAGACTGGTAACGCCCATGGGTCGGACCATGTCCTCGTCCGCACATGCCTGAAAGTTCACCTCTCATCCGCGCCAAAAATGCCACGTCCTAGATGCCTCGATGCCGCAAAAATCCGGCAAGCTAGCACTGCCGAGGCCCTAAGCAGAAAAATCCGGACTTGTTTTACGATCCGAGCCGACGGAGAAGTCAGTTACCAGTGGTCGTCACTGAAGACTTCAGTCTATAGGGTAGCTGAGGAAATCCTTGGATACACCAAGCGACGCCGCAGTGACTGGATCAGCGGAAGAACCCTGCAGTTTTCTGCTGAAACGGCTCGAGCCAGGTCCCACAACGATGACTGCTTCCGCCAACTTCGGAAGATGACGGCAAAATCGGCCAGGGATGACCGGAAGCAATATTCAGCTGAAATAGCAACCTCCATGGAACAAGCCTCGAACGATGGTGACACTCGAAAGCTCTACCGTCTGATCCGCCATGTTAGTGGTAAGCCCTCTACACTGAGTGACTGTTCGCGACGTCAACGGCGGCTTTATTGCTGACAACTCGGCCAAAGTCGAGTGCTGGCGTGAGCACTTTGAGCACCATCTCAACTTCGATACCCAACCAACCTCGTCCTTGCTCTCGTCCTCAGTGGAGTTTCTTCCCTC